TATATATATATATATATATATATATATATATATAATGTGCCCCTGTGTTATGATCGCGTAACAAATCCCGTCAATATTTAGTATGTCTTTTGCTAATTGTTACATTTGGTTACTGCCCATCTTTAATTGTCTTTTTTTTTTTTTGCCGTCATTTCTTTTCTTTTCCATTTCTGTTTCATTTATTGCTGTTGAGCAAACAGCTCAGTTTGCATGATTGTTACTTGTTTTTTTTATTTTTATTTTTTTACCCCGTCTATCACTCCGTCTCTCTCTTTTACTCTTTTTCCTCTAAACTGACTTCACTGATTACATTACTTCGATTGCATTATGGGCAAAAGCAAAATACAAACAGTGAGTTTTGTAGAGTGAGAAGAGAGAGGGAAATGATTATTTGATGCGGAAGAAAGCAAAGAGAAGAAAACAGTGATGATTACGCTGGATTCTCAAACAACAATAACAACAACAACAACAGCAATAATGACAATTACAACAAGAGGAAAACTTCTAAACTATGTATCAGCGATGAAAGCTAACGGTCAGTTTAGAAGCCAAATATTATGGATATTAATTGGTATAATTAGAGGCTTAATTGGTCTTTAAAAAAAAGACTGCATAAAAATTGGTCAGGAAAATATTGGGTTATCGACTTTGTCAGTCGACATTGGTCTGGGCATCTTGCAGTGATAATTTGGATGCTAAAAAAAAAGAAAAAGAGAGTAAACATCATGCGATCAACGTGAGTAAAATTTGTGAAAAACATTTGAATCCATCGGATTCTGTTTTGATAGAGAAGAGAGTACAATTCTCTGTTACATATCAATACAATTTATTTCCAACATTCGAAAAAAAAACAGCTACAAAAAAAGAGTACCATATTGCTGATCTGTTGTGATGTACCGAAAATAGCCGTTGTAGGAAAAAAAGCAGCAAAAAAATCAGTAGCAGCAGCAGCAGCAGTACCAACATTAATGATGAACAAACAAGCAAACAAATAAATAGTCGAATAAATGAATAAAGAAATAAGTAAGTAAATAAATAAATAAATCAATGAATAAAGAATTGGAAAAAAAAATTAATACTTTTAAAAAAATTGTTTTATAAAAATTTATCAAAAATACCTTTTTTTTTTTTCTTCTCGTCAAAATATATGCAACAAAAAATGAAACAATTTTTTTTTTCTTTCCTTTTAAAAGTATATTAATGTGATTTTTGGTTTCAAAGAAGAAACTGATGTAGTAATATACCTTCTATAGTATAATATTGTATCCAACCAAATTGTTGTTACACGTAATTTATTCTTTTTTCTTTTCATTTCATTTTATTTGATGAATAGCAACACTAACAACAAATATATTATTGCCAACACTAATGGAAATTTTTATGAAAATTTTCTTTCTACGTTAAACAAAACAAAAAAAAAAAAGTTACAATTTTTGACATCTTCTAAAAGCTGCTTTCCGTGCCGCTTTTTCTTTTTTCTTACTATTACTCATTAATACTGCCCTTATTACTGTTATTACTATCTGTTATTATTATTATTATTATTACCTCTACCAAAACTATTTCTATTACTATTACTATTGATATTACTATTACTACTGTTACGATTACGACTAATATTAATTTGATGGTAATGTTATAAGGTGCTGCTATTTTCACAGGCTTTCCTTCCTTTTGAAACAAGTTCCCTTCACAGTATCATCATTTTGAACAGTCATTTTTTTAAAAACTTTAATAGTAACAATTTTAATAGGACGGCATAGGTGTTTTTTTTTTTTTTTTTTTTTTGGTGCCTTAACTCTCTTAATAAAGCTATCAGTTTATTTATTCATTTACTTATTTCTTCTTTTCCGTATTTACAAACAACATTTTTTTCGACTGCTTTTTGGATCAATAAGTTCGTTTAGTTTGTTGTTCAGTGGAACTAAACACTGTTATTATAGTTTACCAAATATTGTTTGCAGTAAGCGAGGACGACGGCGACGAAGGAGAAAAAGTCCAATCGTATTCAACAAATATTATTGTTATCCTTTTTTTCCTTTTTTCTTTCAACCCTATTTCTCATCTCCCAACTCTTCAGCTTTTATCCTTCATACAGTTTTGTACAGCGTTAAACTTTCTTGTCGTAAAAATCAAAAAAAAAAAATTTGACAGCAATAGTGACAACAACCTATGTTCGTTAAGTTGTTCAAGTAAGGAGGAAAAAAGATAAGAATGGAAAAAAGTAAATCCAATAACAAACCTTAAAAAATACAAAATGACTTAAAGGGTCAAAAATGAAAAATAAACAAAAGACAGAAATGAATCGAAAATGCCAACTGAAACTAACTTTAAAATTTTTGAAAAACTCCCTCCTTTTTCACTAAATGATTCTTTTTTTCCCTTTTATTATGACGTATCATTCAGCATGATCCAATGATTCTAACTTGCTAACAGTCCTCCGGAAATATAATGTATCCGTTAGCGATAATGCAATTATTCTTAAGTTCTCAATTTTGTCCGTGTCTGTCAACCATTTACTGTTTGTCATTTACCTCTGAATAAATCGTATAGGTATTCCTCTTCATTCACTAAGTCACTCATTCAATCATTCCAGTCAGTCGGCGGAGGCACCCAGTACTACAATAATTGCTGAGGGCTGGATTTCCACCTATATTATAAGAATCACCAAAACACCATTATCACCACCATCAAAACAACTATAACCACCACTATCGCTGTCCCGTTTCGAAGTTATGCAGTCATTTCTACCCCTTGGTATCCAGTCCGACGCATCACCATTAAATTCCCTCCTAACACTGAAACTCTTCGTCGATCATTTCTGTTCATCTCTGTTATCGTGGATCCCATTCCTCATATTGAAAAGATTCGAAAGTGAACGAAATGGACCTGTTGAGTGTTGCGTAATTCCGCACACAGTGTGTACGAAATGACGTACCCGCCCGCTGTCGGTGGGGTTTCCTGTCAGTGGTGATAGTGCCGCCGTTGGTCGGCCGTGCTGCTGCCTCACAATACCTGCAGTAGTCGGCCTTTACTACAGAGCCTAATGTATCACCATGAGCCCGGTTGTCTAAGGGTGGTCAGTTGGCTAAATTAAGCTGAGATCATTTTTTCAAGCTACAGTTTAGAGTTACCTCTCTATTTAGTTATCAGTGGTACTGGCAGCTTAAAATTACCTTAAGTCGTAATTATTGGTACCGAGAGTATTCACCCTAAAACAGTATATTGCATTAACTCAGTGCACAGTAGATGATCATAACTTATCAAGAATAGTTTTTCGACTCTGTTGAGCTGTGGCTATTTTTACAGGTTACTAAAGTTACTTTTTCACTGGGTACAATTCTATATTTATTTGTTCATTATTTTCATCTTTTGAGTTTTGAGTCGCTATCGCCTTCTATTCGTTCTTTTTTTATCGTCATCTAGTTTTCCATTGTCGCTGCTGTTGATGGAGATGGTGATGATGGAGACGGTGATGATGATGATGATGATGATGATGATGATGATGATGTTGTTGTTGTTGTTGTTGTTGATGTTGATGTTGATGTTGATGTTGATATTGTTATTGTCCCATTTTACTCTCCTTGACATGTAGTTTTTTGCTGTTGTTTATTTTAGATACTGAAGTCAACAATTATTTTTTAAAACATATTATACGAAAGAAGAAATTAATAACGGGACAACCTCTAAAGAACGATTGAAACAGAAGGTGAAGTGACTGAGGCAGAAAAAAAATAAAAATAAAATAGTGCCGTGTTTCTAGAGGAAAGAAGTATTTTTGTTCACCTTTTCTTCCTTTCATTCTTTCGTTCTTCCGGTTACTATATACATCAAAAGTAGAAGAAGGAATACTGTTGTGTTTTGGAAAAAAAGAAGGGAGAAAAAAGGCAGAAGGAAAAAGGGAAGGAAGGGAACTAGTGATTTGATGGGAAATACGGAGGCTTCTGCAAAGGAGTCGACAACAAATGTTGAAAATGTGGAACGAGTAACAACTGCAGATCGTCGAAAAGTACCAAAGGTAGGAAAATATTTTTTTTTTTTTTGTATGGGAAGTTATCTGTCGCTAACCGATTTATTTTCTAATATTTTTACTATTGAAGAACATCTTTGGTTGAGTGATGTGGAGCATCCAAATGATACTAGCATACAACCGATAATAGGGTGCAATGTTGCGCTATGATCTGTTTATTTGCGCGTAAAGGTGTGAAAGATAATTAGCAGAAACTAGGGGAACGGGTGGATAGGCAGGAAGAATTGGTACTATTTTTGTGGGATTGACGGGCAATGTAGGGAGGGAAGGGGATAGGCAGGGAATGTTAGTGGATGAAAATTGAGTTAATAAAGTTTTGTGTCTGTATGTGTGTGTATGCGTATGTTTCTATATAATCTATATGTATATATACATATTTGTGGCCTTGCAAATTGCGAATGGAAAAAAGAACGCTGAAATAAAGCCAAAAACAAACCTTTTCGCATTTTACAAAAAAATGATGAGAGCGAAGCCATAGTTGCGGTTGTTGTTTTGATCGTTTTGTTGTCACATCTGAAATTCATCTCGGCGACCACCATAACGATTACGACAACGACAACAAAAATTGTACTATAAAATCCTAGATTCTATTTGTTGTAGGTAAGATTAAGTTGTGTGTGTATGTGTGTATCCGTATTTTGTTTGATTTCATTCATCGTGGCCTTCTTGAAACATTTATTTGTGTACAGCTGTCATAGTTTTGTTTTTCTTTTTTTTTTCTCTAAAAACTATTGGTTTTAGCTATTTATCTATGCCTCTGGTTGTCCACCAAAAATAATATCGTCATTATTACAGCTTTTTTTCTTCTTCTTTGTATAGGTGTTTTATTGCTATCCTTATTTTTGGGTTTTTCTCATTTTCTTAAACCCGCCTTCAAAAACTTCACAGTATTTTGAGGGGCTTCATTCACACACTCGCTTTTTTTCGGTCAACCTGACACTTCTGAATTGCTTGGAATCCCTTTTTTCTTCTCGCTCATCCTCTCCTTCTCTCCCCACCGCTCCTGTCACATTCTTTTCCTTTGATGTCGTCAGTGATGCAGCTATTGCTAAACGGAATTTTTAGAATTCGTAATGAAACCAAAACTTGCGTATGGTTCTGTTCAAATTGATCAAAAGTGAAGTACGAGAAACGGACAGGAAAGAAAACGAAAGGGGGGACGGGTGGTAGGAGGAAAAGAAGGTGGAACAAGTTAGAGGGGAATGAAAATGTTAATTAGAAAGCGACAGTAGAGAGTAGTTTAAAGTTTATCACTTCTTCTTATATTGTGCTTTGTATATTCAATGAAATAAGTTTGGTTGATAAGGGATTGTTTGAATGGTAACTTTTTTCACTTTATTCAGCTTCCCAAGATGACTGTACCAACTCCACTTCAAACTACTTTACCTGTTCAAACTCATCCAGTTACCCAGGACTATCGCATCAGTCGCCAGGTAATCAAAAATTTGAAAGCCATATATTACTTTCGTCAAATTTGCTAGATTTTTGATGGTTAGTAATTTTTACAAGTAGTTATGAACCAGCAAAAAAACATTTTTTTTTAACTGTAAAACTGTGTAGTGATTATGACTGAGAATTTTTAGAGACTGCTTTCAAAAGTAGCTGTCATTTAATAACTGGTTCGTTTTAAATTTTAGGTTCTTGGTGTTGGTATCAACGGCAAAGTTGTAGAATGTGTGCATCGAAAAACAGGCCACAAATTTGCGTTAAAGGTCGTTTATATGATATTGTCAAAGAAGATACGCCTAGTTTTTTTGTTTTTTATAGGCAGCAAGTGCAGTTAGTTGAAACGCATGTCGTTTTTCCGTAATAGTTTACAGGATTTTTGCGTTGTTGGAACCTCTACGTTGCTCAAATACGCAAAGCGCTATTTTTCTTTTATTAAGGTTTTAAGAGACGTCCCAAAGGCCAGACGTGAGGTCGAATTACATTATATGGCATGTCAACACAAACATATTGTCCGAATTTATGATGTGTATGAGAACACCTACAATCAGGTCAAGTGTTTGCTGGTAGTCATGGAATGTATGGAAGGTAGTTTGTTGTTTCTGATGGCTGAAGCGACTTATTCTTCACAGCTTTTACTTATGCTTTCGCAGTTCTTTAACACGTTTTAAACGCTTGGAGTAACGGCATAGAACAGTCATCGGTTTCAACCGTTTACCGTGATGTAGAAGTTTTCCCTCCTTTAGGCTGCAGCTATATTTCATTATATATATTCAGGTGGTGAACTTTTTACCAGAATACAGCAACGGGCGCAGTCAGCTTTCACAGAGAGGGAAGCAGCGCAAATAATGTATGAAATTTGTTCCGCAGTTCAACATCTGCATTCCTTGAACATTGCGCATCGTGATATAAAACCTGAAAATCTTTTGTACAGGTAACTTTTGTTCTATTCTTATTAAATGATGCCTACATTTTTCGGTTAATTTTAAGTTGAAGGTTAGACCACAACGCATTGATTCACATAGATATATCGGATTTTTAGCTGTGATGGACCGTCCGGGATTTTGAAACTCACAGATTTTGGCTTTGCTAAACATGTTAGTACAACGGAAAGTAGACCTCTCGAGACTCCTTGTTATACGCCGTACTATGCAGCGCCTGAGGTTATTTTAATTTTGTTTATTTCTATGGAGCACTGGTTCATCATTAATACTGTGTTTAAATTTAATGTCCCGTTTTCCCCTCTTCTGTGAACATGAAACTTTTCAGGTTTTGGGCCCCGAAAAGTATGATAAATCATGCGACATGTGGTCAGTAGGAGTGGTCATGTACATCTTGTAAGTTGATTAAATTGGTTTTACATTACAACTTTCAATACACACGGCATACTTGATTCCTCACTTTTTTCTTGCAGTTAACTATAAAAGTGAAGACCAGTTCATAGCGCCATTGAGCTAAAACGTATTTCTTTCAGTATATGATTGAAAGGATACTCATTTTTGAATTTTTTTGAGTTTAAAAAAGTTTTCAGTCATGGTTTAAGTGTGGGATTTCACTTTTAGTTTTAAAAAATATCGTAGTTCTATAAATTATATTCTTTTTTGTAAGCATTTTTTTGGAAAATTTTATTTAACTAATTATTTCATGGATTTAGCAGTGTAATAACTTTTTTTTGTCTTCTAGTAGGGCATAATTTATGCCAAACAGTTTCCTTCTTATCTTGCTGTTTAGACTTTTAAGTTCTCATTGATCTGACTGCAGAATTTTCTTCTTGCTTTGATTAACTGAAGGTTACTCATAATTGCTTCCTTTTGAAGATTATGCGGTTTCCCTCCCTTTTTTTCTGCTAATGGCCTTCCAATGTCTCCTGGGATGAAAAATCGAATAAGAGCTGGGAAATATGCCTTTCCTTCACCCGAGTGGGACAGAGTTTCGGAAGCTGGTAATTATTACTTCCTTTTAAAATTTCAGTATATTGTACTTTCTCTATTATTTTATCATGGTCCCATGAAATTTGCAAGTTTAGGTAAAGACTTGATTAGGAAATTGCTGAAGACAGATCCTAGTGAACGTTTTACTATTGAACAAACTATGAATCACAAGTGGATTACACATTACCAGAAAGTGCCTGAAACGCCACTGTTTACCTCATCTGTTTTGAAAGAGGAACAGTCGCAGTGGGGTGAATTACAGGTTAGAAATGACATCTTTTACTGAAGAGGGTAAGGCACGAATTACAGTACTTGAAGTTAAGTAGTATTTGCTTCCTTGAAAAGTGCTTAAGGAGTTTACGACTCTTTTGCCTTACTGCGTGTTTCATAATTTTTGGCGAAGAATTTTCTTCTCCATATATTGAAATCCCTGGTCCTTCGAGTTCAGATCTTCCATGGTAATGAAGACCGCAGCGAAAAATTAACTGAGCCTTTTGAACATCTTACCATGAAGGCTGGAACAAGTCTTTTTATGGTTCAATTATAGGATGAATTCGAGGCGACTTTAGCATCGATGCGAGTTGGTAACGAAGATATCCACATCAAAAGTTTGAAGGATTCAAACAATCGACTGCTCAATAAACGCAGAATGAGGATTCAGGAGAAGTGATGCGAAGGAGAGAGGGATGATGACAAGGTCTGATCTTCGATTTCCAAGTATTACATCCATTATTTTCATGTGTGGACAGTTTAGCAGTCTTTTTAAACCTTTTTTTTTTTTTTTTCGAGAAGTTCTGAGCTGAAATTAGAGAGGAAAGGTTGTTTTCTTCTGTGTTTTAACTGCATGATTTTCTGAGGAGTTTGGCAAGGAAATGTACAAGTGTCTATAGGGTTATGCACAAACCATAATATTTAGTTTCAAATGTAATAAGTTGCTATGGGAGGAGCATTTTCTGAACCTGGTGCTTTAAACATGTAGAACCTTCACGAAGTAAATCCATCACTTATATGAGGTTGTCATATTAGAATATTTTGGCATTTGAGGTAGTAGCAATTGCGTGCAGTATAGAAGCCACAATGACTTTCAAAGTCAAGTTTAATGTTGAGGAAAGAAGTGACGCTTTTTTTTTGGCCAATTACCTCGCAAAAGCAGTGAGGTTTCTGAACGCTTTGATCAGTGCTCGAGAATTTCTCAAAAAAACTACTAATCTTTGCTATAATTTCTCGCCTAGCGTTTTTCGACTTCTAGTCTTACTAAGCCGTATTACACTAAACAGCACTAATTGTTTTTTGAGGAAGAAATAGTGGAGTAGTAGGACGACTAGTTCAAGCTAATCCCGTAGCAACTGCACTAAACATATCTTTTCCTTTGGCCATCTTTTATGTTCTTGCTGCAGTCATAGTAGACTGTGTTTGTGGGCTTTGATCTGTTCTGTAAGTTATTGAACCCTATCTTTCATCTGCGTAACAAGTGGCATCGAGTTTTTTCTTACAGTGAGTGGCTTTGAATAAGACAAGACGTTGCCTTAGCATCCAGTTCGAGTGCCTTTCTTTGTTGTAGATTTTTCGCTGGATCCCTACATTCTCTGCAATTTAATAAAGCTGCCTTTCCCACCTGTTGTTGTTCTTTAGTTTTCCATTTGAGCATATTAAGATGTTAGCGATATGAAGTTGGTAACGTTCTCGACTGCAAAATGCATGATTATTGAGGTCCTTACCAATTCGGCACCCTCACTGGGACCTACTGTGAGTGTTCTGAGAGTTTAAAAGTCTACAGCACATCAGCTCAAGACTAGCCAGAAAAAATCCATCATTCGAGAGTGCACCTTACAAACAATTGCATACTCAATGTGACCCCTCCCAGTTTATGCAAAACAATAAACGAGCCCTTCAAAAAACAATAACAACGCAACAGAACAACTCCCTAGGATTGTAGAGACGACGCTGTGACCGTCAGACGACACAAAAACTCCATAAGTAATAAGCTAACTCATAGTACACTGAGACCGAGACGGCCTACAAAACAACGGTTCCTATCAGTAAAATACAATCAACCGGTCGGAAAAAGCCACTTGAAGTAATGCTGAAAATTAAAAGGCAGATTGGTCTTCTATCGCAAATTAGTAAGTCCACAATGGAGACAAAATGTGATTCAAGTCATGCGACATTTTAACAACAGGAAAGAACTCAAAAGCAAATAAATTATGATTAAAATAACTTATAACATATCACAACAAAAACATTTCAAACGACCAGTATGAAACGTTCTTCTGAGTCACGCAGTAACGGCTTCTGAAGTGGCCGTTACTACTAACTCTAAAGTTCTCAAAACAAATTTAACGACACAACTCAAAATTGCATTGAAAAACTTGCAGCTCAACTTAAAAGGTTTCTTATCTCTTTGTGAATTTCACATAAATATTTCACATATGACAGCATATTGGACGACTCGTCTTCAACCAAAAACCTCTTCATCCAAGCTTCTAAAGCATCTTGCTGCCGAATGACAAAAAGCTTCATACTCCGTGTATTAGTCATTTTAAGTCTCTCAATCAGCTTTCTTAATGCTCGAGACCTTGGATTGTCACGTTCAGGCACGAAGTGCTGAAAAGCGCTAATGAAAAAAAAAAAAAAGGAAGCAACCCAAGTATACCAGCACAAAAATCAAGACATTACTCAATATCTCTTAGTTAACAGAGTTCGTCTAAAAGAGATGTAACTGGGACTCACACTCTCAGTATTCAACTGAGCCACGGAATTTGCATTGAAAACATCTTGCACCCACTCCTGCGACACTCCAAGCCCTATCCACAAAAACATCATAATTCCATTGCACATTAAGTACGCTTTCTCGTTATTAAAGTACTCATATGCGGCTCGCACGCAACCAGGAAATACTAACTGAAATCGAAATACTGCTAAAGAAAGTGACAGAAATATGAAAGATAAAGAGGGAAAATACAAAATAACTATTTGACTTACCTCGTCCGTAACGTTTTCTAACGCAAGATCGGTAACTGGATAAACTAGTGGATAAAGAATTTTCATTGAATCTTCAACGGTCAGTGAAGGAACCATATTCATCATCCAAGCTCGATCATCAACAGTACAATCGCTGCCTAGAAAAAAATGTTGCAAAAACACACTGAGTGAAACGGTGTTTCAATTTTGATGCAGTCTTTTTATAGCAAAAAAAAATCACATACCTCCGCTCACCGCGTCGTTCCTTATTATGCAATTGCCGTACAACGGTAACAGTTTGAGACATTCTGGTAAGATAAGCTGCCCTGGCGGCGCTTGTTCACTGCATCGCTCTCGATAACTAGCAAGCATTTGTGCACAACGCGAGGTTATAGTTTCCCTCATCTCTTTTGGTGACTTATCACGCACCATTGACTCGGCTGCAAGTTGTTGATGAGATTAGTGGTAAAATCAGTTGAACAAAAACCACTAAAGAAGTTATCAAGATTCCAATACCTTGTTTAAATAAGAAAGACACCAGTGCACCATGATCAGCAACTCGATAAAGTAAGTTATAATCTCCAGAAACCAAAAGAGTAAGGTTATGTACCCTTAAGCGCCTTTGTCCACTACAAGATGTAAACAACGTAGCACACTGGATGTGAGCGTACCCTTCTGGTAATTTATCATCATGGCGCATTTCCACATGAACTGCCTAAAAAAGGCACACTTCCAACCAGTAAGTTCAATAACAAATTTTGTTATGCAAACCTTATCACAATCGAATGCTCCCATTTCCATATCGGTGCTATTATCCATATAAAATGAGCCAAAGAAACCTGTTGGGCGGAGACCTAAATTAAATCTGATTAAAGCATACGTTCCAACAGAAACAAATGTGTCAAGCCGTTCCCAAAATTAACATTTTATCTTACCAGTTGATGTCCTTACTCGCATCATTACATCGAAAACAATTTCTCTGCTGATATCGTGGCCAAGGTCATACAGAAAACGATCAGCGTCTTTGCTTGCCTAAGTAACAATTTCTAACTACAATAGTCCAGTGTAATCGCTGAGATTAAATGTCTTCGATAAAACCCGGCGATAGATTTCAGAAAGAATAAAAACGTAAGAAGAGATTGAATACCTCAAAATACTGATACTTGTAAAGAAATCCACCAGATAAGGTACAAACAGGTGCAAGGGATGCAACATCAACAAAGGAGTTTGGGAAAAGAAAGAGGTCCACAGCACAACCATTTTTTACACATTCTTCTCCTAATTTACAGTAAAAGTCACTGGCAGGCTGGAGAACATTCTAAAAAGCCATAAAACTTAGAAGCCAAGCAAAAAACATGATTGAAATAATGCTGTTAGAAATTATTCAACCTTTCCTTCATGTATTACCTTTTCTTTATCACTACCAAGCAGCTTCCTATCATCACGATTTTTTAATTTACCCGGAGCTTCATAGAGTGGCAAATTTGTGTGAAAAACGAACAGTTTCCCTGCACGATCGGCACACTAAACCTTACTTTTAACAAATTCAAAAAACAAGCAAAGTAAAAAAAAAGTAGGAAGAAGTAAAAAGAATGAAATAAAACATGAGAGAATGAAAAGTTAATACGCCAGCATAAAAAAGTCAAAAAATTAAAAATTACCTTTAACGCGTCCATACCGGCCTGAATTACTGGACCCAGAATGGTATCTGTTATTCTTGTATCAGCGAACATCTTTTCAATTTCAATTAATAAGCTAAATAAAGAAAAAATAAAACATTTTTTTGCAACAGGTAGAGGAATTATATGAAGATACACAAGTCTGTATTTGAAATTAATGACTGGAACCTTTCTAGCGCTGGTTCAGCCTCCTCCAAGCTAACTAAAAATCCATCAACCAAGGGAGTAAAAACATCCTGCATATCGCTAACAACAGTCATTTTTGGCTGTCCCAGTGGATTCTTGAGGTTATAGAAATGGATCGTTTGGTCATAAGTTACAAAACCTACTCGCATAGATGATTTCTCTTCATAACTATCTCTAAAATAATGAAAGATCAAAATGTGTTATTTTTAATTTTTACTAGGAAAAATTTAAAATATTTTAAGTCCAACCTTGTGGTACAATCCGGAACTTTCAAAGATTTAAGAGAGGAAAAAAGGGAAGATGAGAATAAAAAACGAAGTAAAAGCCTCACTTAGGAAGAGCCTCAAGCAAACGCCGAATATTTTTACAGAACGTCGATACTAAACCAGAATGAACAGCAGTATAAGAAACATCTAACATAAATATAAAAGCCGGCTCTTTAGGCTTCAGACCGTTCTAAAAACGATTTGTTAACTGCAAAATAAGGAGAAATGACCATAACTACAACCACAGAAATTTTACATGTAAGTTCTGAGAAGTATTATGAAGTCTTAAGTTTCAAATAATGACTTGTAAACATAATGCACTGCTTTATGTGTAGTAAAACATACAAATTAAAACAAAAGTTTTACTAAAAAATTGCTAGTTTAAAGTTTAAGTAATGAGTAATTTCAAAGAAAGGAATTCCACCAACCTTACAATAAGGTTTTGTAGCAATAAAGTCGTATGACCCTAAGAATTGTTCCGGACGGTGTTGTATATCACTACGACGGCCACTTGGATCAAGATGAGCAAAATAACCATCTTCAACTAAAAAGCCCCCAACATTAAACAATAGTTCCATAACCAAAAAAATCTGTTGCTAAAATAAGACAATTTTCTTAGAATAAGCCTGAAAATGAAACCTTGCCTTTAGTTGTTGCAAGGCAGAAAGGACACTTAAAACGACGACCACCGTCTTGAAACTCCATAAAGGCACACATATAAGCTTTACAACGAACACAACGTACAGGCCCCATTTCGCCTAAGTCAATAATTGGCGGACGTAACTACAAGAAAATAACTTCTTTATTGTTAACAAAACATATATTGTAATCTTTAAGATGCATACTATCAAAAATGTAAAACAATAAGACAACCATTTTACAACACCTACAATTCATTACCTCTTTCTGTGTGAGTGGTGCAAAAGGAGAGATTGCTACAGCGAAAGGAATCTGAGAATTCTTCAAAACATCTGATGAAGCTGGTGCCACATAAAGTGTTGACCGCATAAACCTCGGGTTGCAGTTTCCTGCAAGCAAACTGTAAATAACATTGAAAACCTACCCGAATAAAGATGTCTAATATATGCAAAAGCTTATCTCAGATGACCCGCATAGAAATCTAATCATATTGGACCAAGAAAAAGCTTTACAAACAAAGCAGAAAAGAGAGACCATAGAATCATATATGAAAAAGGAAAATAGGTACCAATTCAGGAATGATCGCAAGCTAAAACGTAGTGGGTGTTCCAAATAAACTTTTAAAAAAACACATGCCTTGATCTTGGGCAAAAAAGTCTGTTGTGCACAGCGGCGGATGTTCCGCATTTGGATATCCAGTGGGAAAAAGACCTGATCTTGTAGATCTATCCTCTTCGATTACTTGAACCTTAAAATTAAAAAAAATACAAGTGTAAAGCACCTTTTGAATTAGAGTCATCTCCTTTTCAATCTTCAACAAACTTCAATTATTACATAACATCATTATCTCGGAATCAGTTGAAAAGCTGACCGCACTCGGCATTGAATCAAGGCTTAAACCGTGCTTTGCTGGAGGTCCAGGTGCCGGCATCATGCCAGCTACAGGTGGCATCCCGGGACCGGGTGGCATTCCGGGACCAGGTGGCATTCCAGGACCATGCGGCATTCCAGGACCAGGTGGCATTCCAGGACCAGGTGGCATTCCAGGACCAGG